GTATGCAATGAATCCACTACATAAATGAAGCTTAATCTACCTTTGTCCATTTCTGGCCAAGCAAAAGAAATATGGGAAAGAACTATGGGAAATGTCACATCCAGACTCAGTGTGAAACAGATACCTACTCAGAAAAAATGCTTGCCCTTGAGTTTTATCGTAATATTATGCATTCCACCCCTCAAGTCAATCTGCCTTGAAAAGTGGCTTCATGTCATGCCAAGTGACTTCTGAGCCTTCACATGTGCACAAGATCACGGGTGCTCCCAAGAAACACCCAAAGAGAAACTGCACGCTCTGAATCCTGCAGCAAAAACAGTGCTTGGTTGATCTGCTTCAAGGGGGTGATTCAATAGAATCACTTTGGAATGGAATCACCTCTCTTGGAAGCATTGCACCAAGCTTAGGGTTAGTACACCTTCCAAATGATCAAAGACTCATCAAACATGCAGCCACCAACTGAGTTTGCAGCTTTGGCCAAGACTCAATTACCAGTTGTGTGAAAGTGGGAGTCAGAAGGCTAAGGTGACCACACTTGTGGCTTCATCCTCACCTTCCTCAGAAAAGATCAGAGGAGAACAACAGTAGTCCAGACAAATTGATGGGTGGATTTCAAGGTCTACATTATTCTCAATGTAAATGGGAATACCACTTAGACAGTTAAATTACTTCAGTGGTCAAAACTTGTCACCCGATTAGGACTGGCATTTAAGTGATTTGGAAGGACAAACTTAAGAAAAATGGGAAAAGCATCTTTTCCAACAGATTCTGAATGAAAAAATCACGAGCAAGGTGATGGAAAACAGTTTATCAGTGTTGCTTTTTTCCCCTTTAAATTGGAAATACACATCTTTGTGAGAAATTAAAACTTCAGAAATCACCATCTCCATAGTTCCCTAGTTTTCCCAGAAGCAGTCCACTTTTGGGCCAAGGAAACATGTTTAAAATGTTCTGAACCATTTAGAATCAGATCTTTTGTCTTGAAAGAGCTGCTAACCCTAAAACTAGTTGAGATAACAAATGTGCTCCATGGCAGCCAGCCAACAGGTGGAAACATGGGTATTGTGGTTGTTAAGCAACCTAGAAATGAATCAAATAAAGACCTCTTTACCCCTCAGTTTCTTCTTCTTATTATTATTACTATTTTTAATTTAGCAATTGTTGGACAAAATTGCAAAGTTTTTTTTTTTTTAATTTGTGTGTGTGTGTTAAATGACAGTATTCACAACTGTCAATTTAAATTTTCCTCAGTTTTTCATTTTACCCACAGCAAGTTATTTGGCCCCATTTCTCAATTTGTGGTCTTCTCTCCTGAAGAAGAAAAAAATCTTAATATATGCATTTCTGTAGACCTGTTTTCAAGATACAGAACGCTTGAAAAGATCTCACCCTTCTATAATGCATAGTGAATAGCTTAGCCTGATAGCTACCATTATTGTACTAATTCTTTATGATTTACATTTCTGAATCTAACGACTGAGTTGTCATCTACATAGACTTCATGCATCCCAATTCTGCTATAGCTTTAGATAGTGTTATTACAGTGAAGTCTTATAAAATTATTGGATCAAGGAAATTTCTAAATCTGCCCTACTGCTCCGCCCCTTCCAAGAAAGCTTTGCAGGACTAAGACTATATTCATTCTACCCCCTTGCAGATGCCAGTGATGAGAGGCCTCTCTCTGGTTCACAGTGAAGCTTTTTAACCCAAAGCTCCATGCACAAAGTGGCTTCCCAATACCATCTGTGGTACCTTCCCAATACCACTTCTAAAACTAAAAGAAAAGGGTCCCATGCTGTACTGGTGGAGCTCCAGTGCAGAAATCTGAGCCCCCAGGGCCATGTGGGGGCCCCTAAGAGACCTGGGCAATATGTAGACCTAAGAGGCTTTCCAGAGGCAAGGGGGATTAATTACTAGAACTATGCACATTTCAGAAATGATTCAGAAGTGTTTCAGATCTCTCTCATGCAGTTTCTCACTCCTGTTCATTAAAGCAGTCCCTCACCTTTATATGAGCCTAAAAAGGGAGCAGCTGGCCCTATCTATCTATCTATCTATCTATCTATCTATCTATCTATCCATCCACCCAACCATCCATCCATCCAACCATCCATCCATCCATCATCTATTGATCATCTATCATCCATCCAACCTGTAACAATACATATTCTGCACCAGAGAAATAAATACGTATATACGTATATAC